ATGCTTACAGAACTCCAGTAAGACCGCAACAGCGGTATAGGCAGAAAAGTTGACCAATATGGGAACACAACGACTATACCAGCGGGTGAAGGTAATGCATGAAGGACAGGCTACTAAGGCGAAACTCAACAAACTGGGTTATCAGCAATCCATTGCAACTCTCCCTCTCTCCATTTGATGCAGCTACCTACACCACTAGACCAGGAAAAAAGAAAGCCTGCGCTCCTGTCTCACCACATAAATTAACTCTCGCGCAACCATCATACAGCTCATCATATTTTCCATCATCATCAAATCCCTATACCCTAAAAGTCCTATGGTGACGAACGAGTGGCGACGGGGACAGGCAGAGATGGCTGCCGGGAGTCTCTAGTCACATCTCTGCACATGGGTTGCATAAATAAGATAGTCGTTTATGCAATGCGACCTTGGCAGCAGTACAATTCGGTCCTGTCTGTGCAACTGAGCAGCCCTTTCCAGGAGACACTCTGCTCACCCTATGGGAGAGGGCTAGAAAAGGTGCCCTAAATTAACATGCTTAAAAAAAAATTGACTGAGAAACTGCACCCACTAAGGTCATCATAATGTGGTTGAAAACATAATCACATATCAAATCAAAAATAAGCAACACAACCTCTTATGATCGTTGCATGGAATGTCAGGACCTTTCTGGATACTGGCACAAATGAAAGTCCTGAAAGAAGAACTGCAGTTGTGGCAAAAGAATTGTCTAGGTACAACATCGACCTCTCAGCTATTAGTGAGCCCCGGCTCCCAAAAGAGGGTCGACTCAGAGAACAGTACCTTCTTCTGGAGGGGTAAGCCTATTGCAGAGGGAAATCGCATCTATGGAGTTGGCTTTGCCTTTTGCCAATCGATCCACCATAGGCTAACCGAAATGCCTGTTAGGGAACAAGACATCCTCATGAAGCTCTGAGTCTCAGTGAATTACTCACATCCTGCCTTCTTCATCAGTGCATACGCCCCAACACTGGATGCAGAGGATGACATCAAGGAGGCCTTTTACGTTGACCTCTATCCCCAGTGAAGATAATGTTGTGCTCCTTGGTGACTTCAATGCCAGAGATAGCAGAGATGCTGACTTATGGCAGAAAACAATAAAAAAAAGCGGAGTGGGTAGGTGTTATCTCAACGGCCTACTCCTCCTAGGCAAGTGTGCTGAATACAACCTTACTATCACCAACACCTTATTTAGGCAGGGCCACATTCAAGGGTTCTTGGTAACACCCACAATCCAAACACTGGCATCTCATTGACTACATCCTTGTCAGAGAAAGTGATCGCAAAGATGTCCTCATCGCCCGAGCCATGCTCATCTGAACCAAACTCTTCCATAACTTTGCTTCAAAACAGCAAAAATAACAAGCTTCCAGAAAAGGTTTTAGCACCAAACGACTGGAGGATGAGGAGGGAGAACGTGCTTTCAGAGACCAACTCGATGATAGGCTGGTAAATAACCAAACAACAAAGAAAGTAAATGTGAGAGCCAAATGAGGTTTCCTCAATGCTGCCACACACAAAAACCTGCAGCGAGACCTTCGGCCAGATCGAAATAAAACACCAGGATTGGTTTGCTTAAGGAACTTGGAAATCGACATACTAGTCAATGATAAACTTGCTCTCATCACTGACTGGCAGAACAACTATTAGTCTAGGTCCAAAGCTGATACCTTCCGCCAGAAGAAGCAATGGCCCAGTGCAAACTTTGCGATCTGTAGGACGAATGATGGAAAAATAAAGAGTATCAAACGCAAAAATTTGCAGTATCAAAACAGTCTATGGCCCAACTACTCATGGCACGGCCCCCCCTCTGCTCATCTTATAGTAGCTCCCTAAAGACGAAGAAGGCATCCTTCAGGGCTGAAAAGAGTGCTACCATTTCCTGTTCAACTGATACAATGATGAGGATGTACTGACTACCCAGCAAGTCCCTCAGCACCCAAAGCTGACCCTCCTCAGCTATCCTCCATCCCTGGATGAGGTCGCTACTGCCATCAAGCAGATGAAAAATAACAAGCCACAGGGCCTAATGAAATCCCAGCCGAGATGTATAAAGCAGGAGGACCTCTGCTTACCAGCAGTCTCTACTCTCTCCTGGTGAATATATGAATGAAGGAGGAATTCTCCTGAGATCATAAGAACGCCTCCATCTTCAATATTTATAAGAGTAATGGAGACCATGGGATCTCACTGCTGTCCATAGCTGGCAATATTAACGCTCGATTCCTCCTATAGACTTCTTCCTAAGGCGGAAAACTTCTTGACAGAATCTGAATGTGGCATTTATGGAGTTAGCTTTACTATCCACCAATGCATCCTGCATAGGCTAACTGAAATGCCAGTTGGGATCAACGAGTTCCTCATGAATCACTCACATCATGCCTTCTTCATCAGTGCATATGCCCCAAATCTGGATGCAGAAGAAGACATCAAGGAGGCGTTTTATGCCGACGTTGATAAAGTACTAGCCTCTATCCCCAGAGAAGATTAGGTTGTGCTCCTTGGTGACATCATTGCCAGAGTTGGCAGAGATGCTTGACATATGGCAGGGAATCATAGGGTGAAATGGACTAGGCAAGTGTAATCCCAATGGTCTACTCCTCCTCAGCAAGTGTACTGCACACAACATCACTACCAATACCTTGTTTAGGCAGGCCAACAAGTTCAAGGGTTCGTGGCAACACCCACGATCCAAACACAAGCATCTCAGTGACTACATCATTGTCAGAGAAAGAGATGCATGGCTCAGACCACTGATCATCGGCTCGGCAGAGCCAAACTCTCACTTCACGTTGCCCAAAGACGGCGAACGTAACAAGCCTCTAGAAGAGGCTTTAACACTAAGCATCTGGAGGATCCATAGGTAGCACATGCTTTCAGAGAGCAACTCAAACATGCACTGATAAACAGCCCAACAACAAACAACCCAAATGCAGGTGCCAATTGGGATATTCTCGACAATGTCATAACAAAAACCTGCAGAGAGACCCTTGGCCAGATCGAAAGAATACACCAGAACTGGGTTGAGAAAAATTACCTGGAAATTAACGTACTTGTCGATGATAAGGGTGCTGCTCTAACTGACTGGCAGAAGAACCCTCAGTCTCGGATCAAAGCTGATACCTTCAACAAGAAGAAAGCAGTGGCCCAGTGCGAACTTCGCAATCTTAAGAATGATTGATTGAAAAATAACGCATATGAAACACAAAAACTTGTAGATCAAGTATTCTGATCTTTTAAAATGTTAGTTTTTACATAATGTAGTATTACTGATACGTAATTTGTCTTGGTATTCTTTATTGTGGGTAAAAATAAGTATATGTTAAATGCATCCTCCGAAAGCGTGAATTTGCTACCAGAGTTTAACAGTTAATTCATGTATAAAATTTCTGATAAACTTCCTACGTGCTCATGTTTGAAATTATGAATGTATGTATCTTTATATAATTTAGCTAAATATCTTTTTCGTCAGAAACGGTCGTCACAACGATTATAAATAAATTAATTTAGAAATACAGCATTACTTTTGGACGAAATCGGATAGATTTGCTACAACCAATCAGCTGTACCTCTTAAGGAGAGGGTGAGGTATCTCTTCTCAGCTGGGAATAACGCACTATAGTGAGACTGACTGATGTTGGTCTGCTTCAGGTGTTGCAGCTTCTTTGCAGTGAGTATTTCACGGATGACTTGGTTGCGGAGGGACCTGTAGCTGTAGGGGTCATTGAGGTGGTTGGTACTCGTCCGCTAAGTCAGTTAAGATAAGGTCAAGGGTAATTTGACCATGTGTAGAGAAGTTCACAGCTTGTGATAGTAGCAGCTGGTCTTGGATATCAGTGATGGCAATTTCGTTGTAATCCCCACATAGTACTAGTCTGGCACATGGATACCTAACTCTGAAGTGGTAATGAGGTGATTGATATGAATGTCTCTGGTGGGTGAGCGAGGTGGATGGTGTGCCACACAGTATTATGATAGCAGCAGTGTGGTGAGGGTGGGCATGTGGCACAACACGTACCAATAATGCCTCCACATCAGCTGGGACTGAAGCATCCAGGCGTGATGGGTGTAGTTCATATTGACTGAAGAGGGCAACGCCCCCTCCACGCCCATGTGAACGAATGTGATGAAAGAGTTGATATCCCTCAATGTGGCACGTTTCAGGAACAATTTGTCATGCTTTGCATATGGCAGCGACTGAGCAGACTGTGGTTGCCAGTTTGTCAAATTTATTAGCTATGGAAGTGACGTTGGAGAGCAGTAAGGAGGGGAGATTGTCCCATATTCGGAGAACTTCAGTGCATTGGCACGGTCTGTCAGGAGTAGGTTTCTCCGGTTTGGTTTTCTAGTGGAGGTGATGGTCCTAATGGGCTTCCGTTTATGACGTCCTTGTCTACGGCTACAAGCATGAAATATGTTCAGTGATTTTAGTAGCGCAATAACACTGCCATCAGGATCTCCGTTCCCTCGCTTAAGTTGTACTGTACAGGGTGCGCCTGGAGTACGTCACTGGTGGACATCTGTTGATATCTGTTGTTGTGGACGGACGGAAGTGTTTGTCCGCGGTGGCCAGAAACTCAATGGCGGCACTTTGAGGGCACTGACACTGGTAGACATCTTTTATTATTTGTTTAGTCGTAATCACCGCGAGTCTTTGTTTCTGGCACTCTAGGGGTCGCCGACACAGTACCCACGGTATGTGTAAACACCGCGGTGACTTTGAAGGTCTCCAACAAAGTGCCCATGGTCTGGTATTACACAGCTGTGAATTACGCTTGTTTTTGTGTTTTTCTTTGGAATACACTATTGTATCACTGTTTGATAACCAATCATTGCACTGATTACTTGAACATGTGTGTGTTTGTGTGTGTGTGTGTGTGTGTGTGTGTGTGTGTGTGTGTGTGTGTGTGAAAATTATCTGGGCACACATAACAAGACATCAGGTTCACGTCTCTCATAATATGTTCTCCCCTCCCCAG